ATGGTCTAATCAAAAAATTATTTACTTTGTAAAAAAATTGATATTATATATTTTGTAAAATAAAAAAGTTTAAAATTTTCTCAATTTTGTGTAAAAAAGTTTTTAACTATAGAATATTATATGGTAAATGGTTCTAAATATATAACCATGTTCTTTTTGGTCATTTTACCCCTAAAAGCTAAGTCAAACATTTTTTAAAACCAATTTATTGGCTTTTTAGATTTTCTCACCACAATAGCTAATCTAAACACACTTTAAAACTTATTTTCCAAAAAGCCATAAGCCAATAAACACTTTTCCCAAAAGCACTTTTATGATAAAAAAAACACTCCCAAACACACCCATAATCGACGCGATCAAATTTTAAAATCAATAACTAGTATTAAGTTTTACCGTTGGAGTGCTAAAGAACATTTATAAATCTTTTATTAAAAATTACTTTTATAAAATCAAGTTTGGAGTTTGATAAGTTTATAAAATCTCAATTTTAAACTTATACAAATTTTAATCCCGAAATTTAATGTTAGCTAGTTTTTAACGATAAAACTCGTTTATTTTTTAACCTTGTTTTTACCATCTTATGTTAAAAGGTAAACTTCATTGAAATCAAACTTCATGCGATATTATTTATGCTCAAAATATTATTTTGCATGTGAAATCTGATTTAACAAATAACACATAATGTCAACATTAAAATTAAACAACACAAGCATGTTATAACATATGTGCATAAACCAACCATCTACTGATCTTTTCGTGAGCCATCACAAAAAATATTAAGTCCATTCCTCAGGGACATAAAGGGACGAAAAATCTTGAAAGTCTTCATGATCCCATTTGCTTCAACACCTTGTAGCAAGTTTATAAAAATAATTTTATTAAATTCATAAAACTTTAATAAAATAAAGTTTATAAACGTTTGATCTTTAAAATGGGCACCATCTTCATTCTTGTTATATTTTTATAAAAAGAAAGTATTTCTATCCTTGTTATATTTTTACAAAAATAAACAAAATGAAAACTATCTACTAAATTATTACATACCATGTGAATAAATAAATATTACAATCATTTTTATAAATCAACACAAACACATTCACATGGTCAATGGCTAGTTTATGCACATCATATATATATATATATATATATATATATATATATATATATATATATATGGTGTGGCCTTATAGGATCATATGTCATTAGGAATATCATTCTATAATGACTCTTGGGCATAAATATATTCCACTCACATGTTCTTTTTTTCTCGATTGCAATAGACATTATGAAGTAGATAGTACAAAACCACTACAACATGACTCCTCTTATTTCTTTTAGGTCTCTTTATGCGTATAGATGTGCGATCAATCACTGGTCTCATACTTAAGCTAGCTAGCTTGAATGCCATGTGAAGCATGTATAAAACACCACATACTCTTTATTCTCTTTAGTTTTCATTTTGCATGGACTTTGGAGGGACACACGGGCATTTTCCCTCTCTTACACGAATGCACTTATAGTCATGCTAAAATTGTTTTTGAATGATAATAGCTCTTTACTCTTTACCAAACTATTTTATGAAAACATTTTCATGAATGAAAACATAGGTAACCACATATTGAAACATATAGAAAGTAGTTGTAACAATCTTAACAATTTCACATTATAAAATGACACCTTAATCGTGTTTTTATAGAACATGTATTCGATTGTATTCACCTCAATGGAGTCCAACCTATTCTTCCTTCCTTTAAGCTTGTATATCTCTTAAACACCACATACTGTCACTAGCAAATATATTTTTACAAAATAATCTAAATACCCCAATAGGGTTCTTAAGAATTTAACTTCACCCATAAGCCTATTTCCTTTCTGTTGGCTTATATTTAAAATTAGGACCAATCAGATGTGGAATACTTGGTTTTTCAAATAATAAAGTATCCTTTTAGAAGGCTAGATACGTCCCTTGTCAAAATACACTATACTTTGATACACCTCATGTCTATAGTACATATCACCCAAAAGTGAATTTTTTCTCATTTAGGCGATGTACTTTTATCTAATGGCTTTCAATGCTCACCAAACTTCACCAAAAAAATTTAATAGCCAAAATATGGGTTGCTAAAATCATTTAGGAATGATTAAGTCCTATCCTGCTTATCACTTAGTCATGAAGACCTTTAGAGGCCATAAGCGTAATATGAAAGCATAAGATAAAATATAAAACTCTTATTAGTCAATAAGCTTATAATGGCTTTAATTCTTATCAAGCATCATCCCAATGAGGCATTGAACTTCTTAATTGATTTTAAAACATGTTAATGCATATTGAAGTGATTGAATCCTTGTATTCCATGGGTTTGAATAGGTGGTTCCATAGTTGGAAGTCACATACAAGTTTGTTTCCAAAGCTTTGCATCAATAACCCTTAGATCCTTTAATAACTCTATCATTATAACTTCATAACCATTCTAATAAAAAGTTATCCACTCATTGAAGTTTTATACAAACTCTCATGGATTCTCCTTGCTTCTCTAACCCTAACTTTATCAATAATTATGGATTTAGTTTGTGATACTCATATAATCAAGTCATGGATTTATATGGAGATTTTATGTAGGCAAGGATCCAAACAAACTCTATCCTCCAGTCATTCATATACATATAATTCAAATTTCATGGAGTTTTCCTTCATTAATGGATCTTGAAGCTCTAAATCTCCACCACTACTTCATCATAACAAAATTAGGGTTGTCTTAATGAAGATGGGGACTTCCAATATCAAACCCTAAAATGAATTAACCAACTAATCATCAATTTAATCACGATCATCATATTTCGGGCTCAATCCCAAACCCTGGGTTCGAATTCTAGAGAGAAGTGAGAAAGTTATACCTTAATTCACTAATAGATATGATCTAATTTAAATGTTATATCTTCTTCAATTTGAAAACCTAGATAGCCCCTATAGCATCAAAATTTCCATTTTGAGTTTTGTTCCTCTTCATTTTCGTTCTCCACTTGCAAATAAGGAAGAACCCCTCTAACTAGCTTGTATCATTGGTCACTTGACACACATGGTCCTTCTAACTTTCTATTTTCTAAAAAAAAGACACCACATGAAAACTTACTTGTTAAATTTCAATCATTCAACACTTTAGACTTCATGGTTTTATTTTTAGCAAAAATGGTCCCTCATGTAATTTTTCTACATTTTAGATCCAACACTTATTTTATTTAAGGTCGCATATTTTATATTTTAAAGCTTTTTAACATTTATCTTATCATTCATTTATAAATTTAGTTATACTTTTTTAAAATTACTATATTTTTATTTTCCAAATTTTAGTTTTTCACTAAAAATGGAAAAACGCCTAGGCCCATTGTGAGGATATTATAAAGATAAAAATAACAAAAAAAAAACAAAAAATAGGAACATGAAATATAGCCAAAATCAAATCAAACCTTATTTAATCATTACCAACATAATTTGTATCTTTCATTATTTATGACCACATAGATGTAATAATATACAAAATAGAAAATATGTGTAACAGAAAGCAACAAGTTTCTGCTTTTTAAAACAAAAAAAACATTATACAAAGACGAAAAAATACACTTGAGATAGAAATGGATTCGATTAATTTATAAATAAACATTAAACCAAAATTCGAATAAGAACCAAAACCAAATCGCTCGGGAATTGATCCAAACACACAAGGGTTAGGAAATGTAACTAATTTTGATGTTAGGGGTGTTGATGTTGTTAGCATTGAAGATGGTCGCATCTATACGTAATGATGAGAATGGGGTTGAGTTACTTCATTTCCAGTGATGATTAAGTGACAGAAGTAGGTGTATAAGTATGTTGGAAAAGATAACAGGTTAGAGGGTTAGATATAGGGTTAGGAAAAATATTTTGATGATTATATGATCCATGGTTTCTAGAAATAGTTGGTGTTTATAGGAAAGAGAGAGAGAGAGAGAGAGAGAGAGAGAGAGAGAGAGAGAGGTGAAATGGGAGAACGAAGGCTCCCAATGAAGCTTGGGATTAACAGGTGGCGACTGCGGGTTTCTTTATGCGAGAAGAAGAAATCTCTATTGTAGGCTTGGAATAGATGATTGATATGGGTTTTCCAGCAACTAAACGAGTTAGTCGAAGAAGATGACCAAAGTATGTGTGTATGGGTGTCGTAGTAGAGAAGATCGAGAGAGGAACGCATGAATGACCTCTTATGAGGGTCATTTATAGGTAAGGGAGGAGATGATGGGACCCAAATGTGTTTTTCATTAAAGAATTTTCTAGTAAATTAGAGCAATACAGTCATTCCATGTATGACAGGGATGCAACGTCCAATTTCAAACCTAACATAGAACGGTTTGATTGAAAAATAAAATATATGGAGAAATATGTATATTAACCAAACCACTCAGGCAATTGGATTCATTTATTATAATAATAATAATTTATAAACTATTATGTTTTTCAATATTATTATTAGAAAATAATATTGCACACTCCCATTTTTTAAAATGTGTGATTATTTGGTGATAACCAACAAAATGTTCATGCAAACAATAATGATTATGGTGGCGTTTTTTTTTTTAATTTTAACATTTGTTTGTGTGGGGTAGTCATATGTGAAAAAATTGTTTCTTTTTAAAAGACAAAATACATAAAAACATTTGGTTATTTTTTGTTATGGTTTTTTTATTTATTTTTTCGATTTATTTTTCTTGTTATGTCCTAATTTTTTTTATTTGGTTTTTTCCTTTGGTTATGTTTTGATCTTTTTTCTTGTTTCCATTCGATTTGTGTTTTTTAGATAGAAAAATAATTTGTATACTTAAAAAAAGTTGTCTTTTTTATATAGAATGTAGACTTCTGCTCCACATCCATTTAGACATGGAAAAATGTTACATACATTTTACCTTTTAAAAATAAACATTGCATAGAGTTTTAAGAGAATGAAGATACCTCATGATATTTAAATGAGATCTTTATTTGTGTAGTAATCACATTACAATTATTAGGCATATATTGGGTTTATTTAAACTCACAATAATAGTCCCACAAATTTGAAACTTCCATATGTAATTGACCATGGAATATGATATAAGATTTAGCTTCGTCCTTTTCATGTTCTTGCCTTCTTCATCTTTTGGCTCGCTTCGATTGGTTTTCCTGCCATCTTTGAATTCTTATCAAAGTTATCTCCATCTTCACTATCGGTGATGCTTCTTTTAAGTGGAATCATTTTCTCTTCACCAAGGAACTTCTTAAACCAAATTGCTGAATTTTTTGGGTACCTTTGAAGGTCTTTCATGAAATCAACATAGATCATACCAAATCTATTATTATATCCAGAACCCCATTCAAAACTATCCATGAATGACCATATAAAGTATCCCATCACGTTTATATTATTTCTGTAATGATTATATAACAAACATGCTTAGGGTTATGTTTGTAATTAGTTTCACATTACACAAATATATTCACTTGACTTACTGTCGAGCCAATCTAATGGCTTTAAGATGTTCTTTAATGTATTTGATCCGATATTCATCATCACGCACTTGTTCATATGTTTTTCCAGTCTCATTCTTATCAGAAGACCCTATCAAAATTCAGAAGACATGAAAATATGAGTCATAAGCTAGTCTAAAATAGAAGCAAAAGTATAGTTTTACCATTCTCTGTGATGATCATATCTTTAGTAACATTGTATGTTCTTTTAATGTAAATTAAGAGTTCTGTAAGCTGTTGAGGACAAAGATAAATCCACGAACCCTGGTATGACTATTAATTTGCATTTTCCATTAATTAACCATCACTGAAATACAAAATCAAAACATGTATTTAATTGTATCATTGTATATGTATGAAGATGTCTTACCGGCTCTCCAATATAGTTTCCACTAGGATCTTGTCCTAACAAAACAAATAGACAACATTGAGTCATATGTCATGAACCATGACAATGTATATTGAAAACTTGGCTATATAAGATACTTTATTTACATCCACTTAATTTAATTTACAATCATATCGAAAGTGTATAGAAATTTAATATGAAACCTAATAGAATAAGGGCTAATGTCATAAATAGGTAACAAAATATTTTGTGAATAAATTATAATAAATAAATATCAAAGTAAAGGTCTTTTGTGAATAAAAAAAATATTTTGTTACGTATTCATGACATTAATCCTAGATTTAATGATATCAATATTATGTATGCCCAGTTCTATGTTTTTATAATTCATTTCCAAACTGATGATATGATCATTATCTTGTCACCTTCTGTAAAAGTTGTTGTAAATGAAGGTCGGAGTTTTAAAGTACCTGAAACCGCATAGTGACAATCTGTAGAATATCCGAGACGGATTGCATCAGAAGGACCTTGATATTGTGCAAAACATGCAGTGTAGTAGTTTACTCCCAAAAAATCATATGAATCAATCAACTTTTTACTTTGATTAGTAGAAAATTTCGGCAAAAGACGACCATTTAGGTGATCAGTGGTAGGAGTCGCAACAAATTTTTCCATGTTATCCGGCCAAGTACCTCTTGTTAATGGCTCAAGGAACCTAAAATATGTGTCATTGTAACTTATATATTAATATTATTTTCAGAAAATCAAATATTACAAGGGCATCCACAATGTATTTTTCTTTATAAAGTTTAATGGGTTGTCATATCAACATTCCATTTTGTATGCGACATTCAATGGAACATATTTAAAAAAATGAATTTCAATTTTACAATTCAGTGGTCATTTAAATCCAAATTCATTGCTAACTTGGCATCCTGGGATAGTTAGTTTTAATCCGTAACTAGGTATTCCATCTCATTTAACCATTCCATTAAAAATGCATTGTGGATGATCTAAGTAGAATTATTAACATGTTATTTTCAATTACCATCCAACCGTAAAATCATACGCGTATTTAACAGCTTGGACATCTTTTTGATAACTATCACCACGATAAGGTTGAAAATAACCACAGTTAAGGGTAATTCCCACTCTACCTTTCTGGGTATCCTAAAAGACAATCATGGGTATAAGAAATTAGATTATTCTTGCACCATTAAATGTTTCTAAAGATGTTCGAATAATTAGAGCGCTTTGTTTTAATTAATACCTTATAATCTTCAGAATACTTTCTATAAGCAGCTGCATGACAATTTAGTATGTTATATGCTACTGTATATGGTTCTGTTTGAGGATCGCCATCTTCATTTTCTCCACCTCGACCTGGTGCCCCTTGACCTTGTACATAACCAGAGGTGGTGAATATATGTGGTTCATTTATTGTTACCCAATTCTTTACTCGGTCTCCAAATTCCCAAAAACAAATATCCGCATAATTAAGGAAGTCGTCCCTAATTATTGAAATAATTACTTTAGAGTTTAAAAAGGGAAAAATGCATATATAATCACACTAGAAACACTTACACAATTTTAGAACTTAAAAATCCCATGTACTCTTCTTCCAAGGCATTGGGAAGATCCCAATGAAACAAAGTGACAAATGGTTCAATGCCATTAGCTAATAACTCATCAATTAACTTGTTATAATGGTTGATACCTTCCATACTCTTACCCATGCTTACTTTCCCACCTGTTTAATTCCATGGACATATGATATATGTTATTAAAGATTTAAGTATCAGCAAAAAAACATTACATTTAACCTTATTAACTATATCACATTTTCCATAACGATTATAAATCTTTAAAAATATATAATGAATTAATGAATGAGTTGTTGTGAAACAATATCTATGAGGCATTTTTTCCTCAAATATTATTTTTGGGTAGCAACTCTTTACATAAATAAGGTCATGTAGATTAGGTTAGTTTAATATATATATTGTTCAAGGATTATAATTTTTTAAACATAGATAAAACCAAGCAAACAAGAGGTATGTTTAATTATACTACCTACAGAAGAATATATTTGAGGACAAGACATTCGACAACGAAGATCGGAAAACTTTATATTATTTCCATTTCAAAAGAAAAAGTTGTTTATTAAATCAATTGAAGATTTTGAACTTCGAGAAAACTTAAGCATAATAACCAAAGGTACATTTGAAAAAACTGACATCAAAATAATATGTTTATTTTTTCAAACATCATTAGAAGTCAATTAAAATACCTATCCTAGAGGCCAGTAATAAAAGGTTACATAGAAGAGAGAACCAAATAGGGACTCTAAATACGCATGTGTGAATAATAAGTTTTACATCTATTAGACATCCATGAAAGCGATTGAATCATAATGTTATCAAAAAAGGGTATCTCTTTGAGAGTACATCCCCTTAAGCCGAACTCTTTTTCAAAAATTCTAGATACTCCAAAACAGTATAAGCATCGCGTATCAAAGATATATCTTTTAGAACTCACTTAATTGAACCCCTAGGGCATGTGTACATAAATGGAAGCCAAGAGGGACACAAAAAAGGCTACATTGACCATGAATCACTCAATAGTGTTAAGCCTCATAGATTTATGAACAAACAAAAAAGTATTATCTCCATTTATCTGATTAAGCATGATTGGACATGAAATGTCTTCCAATCTTAAGAGTAGCAAACACCTTAACGATCACAACATTTTTCCATTAAAATCAAAGCCCTTTTCTTATCAATAAGCTTACATCCCCAAAATATTAATATAAATGCCTTATAAAATCTTTAGTATTGCATCATGAAAATTAAAATGGAGAAATGATAAAAACATAAACTTTTGAGGAAATTTATAACAAGGAGAGCGTACCTCCAATCAATTAAGATTTCACCTTTTCGTATGATTTTTTTTCAAAAGGTTTCAATAATTAAGGACCGTCGAAAAATAGATGACATATTGGATCCAATAAGAAAACCTATTCAACTATGGAGCTTAGAAGTTTAGCATTCTTTCAACTTTAGAGAAGTTAATCCTAACACCAAATATTTTTACAATTTGAAAATTTTATTTCTAAATTGAAGCACATGGAGGTATATCATCATTGATGATATCTTTAGAATGTTTGATAGACCAATCTCCCATAAAAATAGTATCATCAGCAAAGAAAATAATGTGAGGATATTGAAATCTTTTATACCCTAATTTGATAACTTTGATTCCTTTATTGTGCATTTTAAAAAAGGTTATATTAAGTCTTTTCAAAGTTATAATAGATAATAATTGTCTCATATTCTGCCTTTATGTATACGAAACTCTATAGTCAAAGATTCATAGACGACAAAGAGGCAACAGAATAATAAAGGCATCCTTTAATTCATTTTCCATTCTTTTAAATAAAAATATAGAAGATATATTCGATTCTAAGAAATTTTAGTTCAAACAATAAAATATATTTCAAAAGTTTTGGAAAATAAGTTTGTTGTTGAATTAATTCCTAAGATAAACCTTTGTAAACAATATGACGGTCAACAATAATTTGTATGTCATTTATAGAAGGAAGATTGAAGCTCACTAACTACTTATTAAATAATAATCTTGGTATAGCCTGAAAGGATTTTAATCCATCGATAATCATTTCTCTTAGGCACTCAATAAGAGATGGGTTGTCATTGTGTAAGAGTATAATTTAAATTACATCATAGAAAATTCTGCTAGTTAATTCAACCATTTTATTTACATCATTTTGGCAAAAGTGTTGTTGTTTGCATGTGAATATTTTCCGTTAAGGCAATGTTTCCAAAGTTATTGTTTCATAGCCTAATTTCCATTGCTTTGGGATTAAAATATTGACAAAATTGCAAGAATGGTCCCTGTTGTTAGGCCGAAATTGCCACTTTGGGCCAAACAGGTTTGGGCTAGCACTCATGGTCCAAAGGTTT